ACAAAATGCAAAATTTCTAAAAAAAAGGTACACACCAATATATAAAAACAAAATAAATCATGACCATGTAGAATTTATTTCAAGAATACAAAACTGTTGTAATATTTTAAAAAAATCAATGTAATCCATTATATTAACAGTGTAAAGAATTAAAACCACACAATTATATCAATTAATGCAAAAAATTTTAACAAAACTCAAAATCCACTCATCAACCTGATAAAGAGAATCTACAAAAAGTCCTACAGCTAATGTCATACTTAAGAGTGAGAGACTGAATGTTTTCGTTCTAAGGTTGGGCAAAAGACAAGGGTGTCTATTCTCACCACCTTTACTCAAGATTGTTCTGGAAGTATCAGCCAGAGCAATAGGGCAAGAATAAAATTAAAAAGATATAGAATGAATCTACACAGAAAATCATGAAAACATCTACAAAAATCTCCTTGAACGAATAAAGTGTTTTTAACAAAAGTAGAATACAAGGCCAATATACAATGATATGCCTATAAACAACAATTAGAATTTGAAATCAGAGAAAGAGTATCATTTAGCATAGCACCAATACACCAAAACCAAAAAAGTCTTGGTATCTCTATGCTGAAAACTACAAAACATTGATAAAAGAAATCCAAGAAATCCTAAATAAATGGATAGGGATATTTGCTTACGGACTGGAACACTCCACTCTATATTGTTAAGATGTCAATTCTCTTTAATTTGATATATAGATCAAAAGAAATCCAATTGAAATGACAGCATGCTTTGTTTTGTAAAGATCAGAAGCTCATTCTAAAATTCATACAGAAGGTAAGTTGAAGGAATACCTGATTTCAAAAATTAATAAACAAGCTAGAGTAATCAAGTTAACATGGCACTGGCATAAGGACGGATATGCATATGAATGATAAAGAATAAAGACACCAGAAGTAGATGCACAAATGTACACTCATGTGTTTTCTAAGAAAGGTGGAAATTCTATTCAATGGAGAAATGATAGTCTTTTCAACAAGTAGTGCTAAAATAATTGGACTCCCCTTTTCAAAAATTAAACTTGACATAGAGGTCACCCTTTCTATGAAAATTAACACAAAATGTATCACAAATAAGTGTAAAAAGTGAAACTAAAATTTGTTTAAGAAATTATAGTTATAAATCTTGTGTTACTTTGAGTTTTGAAGTTTGTAACAGGACAACAAAAGCAGGATCTGTAAAAGAAAATTAATAAATTGAATTTTTCAAAATTAATGTTCAGCTTTAGCCAGCCTGCTCTGAAACCATGCCAGCAGGAGAATTTGGGTGCAGTGCTACTACCCGCCAAGCATGGACAGAAGTTCAGTTTCCCCAGTAATCTCTGGTGACACCATGGTGGGCAGGAGGCGGATTCCACATTAACACTGGGCAGGGATGGGAGATCAAGCTCCCTATAAGGCCTCTGCTGACTCTAACCACCTTGTATTTCCTCAGGTGCCAAGACCCCTAGTTCATCTCCATTGTTTCTGCCACCATACAGTAGAAAGGAATACATTTACTCCATCCTTATCTTGGTTAATACCTTCTATATCTTATTAAATCCTTCCTTGCAAAGAGTCATAAACTTATTCTCCCATATCATCTTCTAGAATATTTGTAATTTTGCTTTGGTAATTAGGTATTCAAGACATTTGAGTCTGATATTTTTTTGTCTATATGGACACATCAAGATCCTTCCCTACTTTTCTGTGGTGCCACCTAACACTGTCTATAAAGCACATTTTTTTTTCTTGAGCTTTCTATTCTGCTTCACTAATTTAGTAAACTATCCCACCCCCAGCTCCACACTACTAAACTACTCAGAGATTTACATCAAGTCTCAATATCTGGTTGGAGCACGTACTCCCACAATGCTCTTTATGACTGGAATTTTGATTGGTATTGCATTAAATCCTTATAAATATGTCACAACTTGAATTTATTATATAGGTGTTTCCTCTCTTTTGTCTTTGTTATGGCTAGCTAAAATTTCATCCATTTTATTGTTTTTCTATTCTGACATTTTTCAGTTTTCCAGTTTATTAATTTCAAATTTTACTTATAAATTCCTCTGCTTTCATTAGTGTATTTTTGTTACTGTTCTTGCTTAATTTATTAAGATACAAATGAGACTACAAATCTACATTTGTTCACTAATTTAGCTGTATGTGAAGGTTTCTAATATACCATTACATTTATTATTTCATAAGTATCATGCAATTTGGGATGATTCCTTTTTTTATACATTGTTTAAAAGCGATAATTTAAAATTTTTTCACATGGAAAGATTTTTATTCATTTTATTATTCATTTCTAGATTTATAAAACTATGTTTAGGGAATATTATTTGTGGTGATTCTAATTTGCTGAGTTTATTGGGCTTCTCTGTAGACTCGTGTGATACTTTCATGATCACATGATCATTCCATGGGAACTTGTTCTTTGTGTTCAGCACACACACACACACACACACACACACGTGTATGGCTCACTCTCACAAATATCATTTACGTCCTCCACAGGTGTACTCATTTAATGTCTAGCGTACCTATTGTTTAAGCAGATGAGGTACTTTATGATGTGCTACTTCTAATGAAAGTTCTTAGAATTCCATTATTTTGTGTTTTATGAATACTGATATTATTTGTCATTCAAATGCTTACAGGTTTTCTCTAACCTGTGCTCTTAAGCTAGAGCGGCTTCTTTTCATTCAATGTACTTATTGTCTAAATTCAAATCTGAATGACAACTAAACATAACACCTAAATTATTTTATTTTTATTGACTCAAGAATTTACCATTCTTTTATTACAATCTCCCTAAGTTACTCTTTAGGGATCTTTTTTAGCCAATCAGTATGATACAATCATTAACATTTCGTGACTGGAAGATACATTTGATCTAAACTACGTCAATCTTTACGTTTTGCTATTTGTTTATATGGCTTCACAACAAAACTTTCAGCAGATATGCTACACTTCTAATAATTAAAATAATTTTACTCTTTTGTTCTAGCAATTATATAGAAAACTATAACTTTTAAAAATTCCTGGAATTGTTTATTAGCATAGACAAAGGCTAATAGGCAATACTTGATTTCATTACTAATCAGGGAAATTGTTATGGACTGAACTGTGTCCCCTCCAAATTCATATGTTGAAGCCCTAATCCCCAGTGTAACTCTATATGGAGACAAAGCCTTTAAGGAGGTAATTAAGTTTAAATGAGGTCATAAGAGTAGGGCCCTAATCCTTCAGGACTGGTGTCCTTACAAGAACAGGAAGAAACACCAGAGTGCTCTCTACCCACCACCCTGCTGTGTGCACACAGAAGAATCGCCATGTGAGGACACAGCAAGAAGATGGCCATCTGCAAGCCAGGAAGAGAGACCTCACCAGAGACCAGCCCTATGGGCACCTTTGATTCCAGCCTCCAGAACTGTGAGAAATAAATTTCTGTCGGTCAAGCCACCTAGCCTATTATATTTTACTATGACAACCTTAGCTGACTAATACAGAAATGCAAATCAAAACCTCAATGACTACCATTTCACATCCACTAAGGAGGGTAGAATCAAAAAGTCAGATAATAACAAGTGTGAGTGAGGATGTGGAGAAATCAAAACCCTCACATGCTGCTGGTAGGGATGGAAAATGATGTCATCCCTCAGAAACAGTCAGGCAGATACTTACACAGATAAATGTAGAGGTACCATGTGACTCAGTGATTCCACTCCTAGGTATTTCTCCCAGAGAAATAAATACATATGTGCCTGCAGAAACTCGTGAATGAATATTTATATCGGCATTATTCAAAATAGCTAAAATGTGGAATCATAAATGTCTACTACCAGATGAATGGACAAAGAACAGGTGGTATATCCATATAATGGAATATTATTTGGCCATAAAAAACATAAAGTATTGATGTATGGTACAATATAAACCTTGAAAAATTATGCTAAGCATCTGAAATCAATCACAAAAGACCACGTATTGCACAATTCCATTTATATGAAATGTCCAGAACAGGCAAATCCACTGAGACAAAGTAGATGAGTGTGGAGTAACATTTATAAAGCAAATGTATTTCACACGGCCTAGCTTCCAAAGCCCTGTAGTTTCAGGTATAGCCTAACTTTTTAAAATTACACATAGAAATGTTAAGCTTGCAAAAGACAGGCAACTTGCCCCAGGCTAAAGTGTCTGTTGTAGATAAAGAATTGTAACATAGCAAAATTGCTGGATCAAAGGGCAGATGTCCTTGGTGCAGGTTAACCTCCCGATTGACATGTTGAGAAAGTTACTTGACTGTTATGTAAACATACTGAGGAAACTGCTATAGGAAAAGAAAGTGTTTGCTAAGAACAAGCTTTTGTTGGTGGACTGACTTAACCTTTTGCAAATTGCATTATGGAATGTCACTTTATTTCACTGATGTTACTAGTTTCCACTGTTTAACTATACTTAGCCATAACTCTGCCCCTGTCCTTGTGCTCTTTGTAATGATTAAATCAACTGAATTTTCCTGTGAAACTTCCTTGTCTTTACAATAAAAGGGAGAAACTAACTTTGAATCGGGGCTGTCACATTCAGCTTTCTGCTCCTGATGGGGAAATTACTGAAGTGCAGTCCTTCCGGGCTTCTCAATGCATTCACAGTGCTTTGAGTAATTGAGTAATTCTTTTTTACGTCTCTGTTACACAGGGAGAAGTGTAACAGATGAGCAGCTGCTTAGGGCTGGGGGGATAAGAGGGTGATAACTAAAGGGCATGGGTTTCTCTTTGAGGTGATGAGTAATGACCTGTGGTGATGTTTGCACATACTTGTGAATATACTAAAAGTCACTAAACTGTACACTTCACATGGGTGAACTGTATGATATGTGAATTATATCTCAATAAAGCTGTTAAAAAGGAGAAAAAACTTTCAAAGTTGTCCTCCCCCTAAGGTCTCACTACCCCAGGTCTCTGTCTGTCAATGCTCACTCACCTGGGTACTTCTGATTTGGAAATTCATCTTCTAATGACCATGGTTCTTTTCCTTGCTCCAACGTGAAGATCACCAGGGGCTTGGTAATGCAATACCCTGTAAATGGAATAATTGCAGGCACACATGGGCCAGATGCATGGGCTCCTGGGTTTGTGAAAGTGGAAAGAAGTTATGGCAGCAAGTGCAGGTGCTCGCTGGTAGTTTTCAATGAGAAAGTAATGACAAGAACATTGTTTCTCTTTCTCTAAAGATCCGAAACCTGAACAAAATCAATCCCTATAAGGTGTCCCTATGCTTTGACCTTTTAAAAAAACGGAAGTATGTTCTTGAGGGAGCCAGAAGATAAGGTCTGCTCACCCAGTGAGACGAGGTGGCTGTAGTTCTCCAGCATCACATCTCTGTACAGAGTCCGCTGAGCAGGGCCCATGTGCTGCCACTCCTCCTGGGAGAACTCCACAGTCACGTCCTCAAAAGACACTGATCCCTGTAACATATTTTGTTCAAAGATTCAAAATTACTGACATAGAAAATACCTTTGAGAACTACTACTTTTCCTGCTTATTCCTGAGGCTCGAAAACCAATGGTTATAAAGGCCTATTTGGACCTAATTTGGTCTTAAACTTTGGGGTTACTTACTACAATTCATTTATATATACTTATATGAATTATCAATTTTTTAAGACAAAAAATTTCAATTTAAATAGAACTCCTACAACTTTTTTTCCACATCCCAGCAGATTATCCCAAATATTCTCTAGGATGTTCACACCCTCCTTGGGCATCAGCATTGTGAATGGGGTCCAAGGAAGAGACACAAGTAAGCTCTGGATACAGTACACCTGACCAAACTTGCATGTAAGTAAATGTGTAAAGATATATAAATCTATAGCCCACGAAAAGCATATAACAGCACACAAAGGAGTTGGAACCAAAAGAGTTGGAAGCAGTATGAAAGAACACATCTTTATTAGTCAGTTTTCTGTTGCTTAAAACACAATAACTTAAACTGGGTAATTGATAAAGAAAACACATTTATTTCTTATAGTTTTGAAGGCTGGAAGTCCAAGGTCCGGGTGGCACATCTGTTGAGGGTCTTCTTCTTTGAGGGGACTCTCTCCAGAGTCCCATGGTGACACTGGACATGACACAGGGAGGGCTGAGCAAGAGAGATCTAACATACTTCTTCCTCCCCTTATAAAGCCACAAGTGGCACTCCTGTGATAACCCATTTATCCATTAATCCTTAATCTATGAATGGATTAGTCCATTAATGAGGACAAAACCCTCACGATCCAATCACCTCCCCACAGTCCCACATTTCAACACTGCCACACTGGGGTTCAAGCTTCCAAATGAGCTTTGGAGGGGACACACATTCATATCATAGCAGCTTCCTACACTGAAGCAACAGCAATGGATTTTAAGAATAGGAATACAGTCACACTGTCACACAGGAGAAGGAACAATCATTTGATAACTACTTTGTTGTGCAGCCACCCAGGCTAGCTATACAAACAGCTTCTTTCTTTTTTATTTTTAATTTAATTTTACTTTTAATTGACAGAAAAACAAATATCACAAATAAGAGATCACTTACGTGTGAAATCTGAAAAAGTCAAACTCATGAGTGTAGAGAGAAGAACGGCAGCTAACAGAGGTGGTGGTGTGGGGGAAGAATGGGGAAATGGTGGTCAACAGGTACAAAGTCTTGGTTAGACAGAGGGAATAAGTATTAAGATCTTTGCACAGCATGGTAACTGCAGTTCATAATAATGCACAGTTCAAAATAAGCCACTCCTTGATGGTGCTGAAAACTGGTATGGGGGTCCCCAAAACTGATATTTGAGAAAAAAAAGAAAAAAAATGTGTTAGAAGTGTAGTGAGATAGATCTGTTCATGTTGCTACTTCAGGGTCTATGGAACGTAAAGCGGAGCTGTCCCAGCACACAAATGATTTCAGAGCACACATGGGATGTCTCGGATGAAGACAAGCATTTAGGAGTCATGAGCAATCAGGTGGTAATAGTAGTTATTACAGACAATGCAACAGCTCCTCGGGCACAGAGGGATTGAGGAAAGAAAAGTATCAAAACAACACCTGAGGAACCATGGATCTTAACGAGGCTGGCAAAAAAAAAAAAAAAAAAGTACAGGCCAGAAACCCAGAGAAGAAGTTTTCTGAAAACCAATAATAGAATCCAAAGAGGGACATCTTAGAAACTGAGAAAAGAGAAACTTTCCACAACAAAAGACTACAAGTTCAAGCTAACAAGTGATGTCAGCGAAAGTAGTGAAGTAAATATCTAAGAAGATTTTCTCTTCCATAAAATCGGTAAGAATCTGGGAAAATTTATGAATCAACTTTTTTCAGAACTCTAACCAAAAGCATGTAGCAATCTGTGGAACATTTACACAAGAAAAATAGTTGCATCATAATAAAAAAAGTGATCTTGTGTCATTTAAATTTGCCCTGTTTCCATCCCTCTCTGCTCAATTCCACAGTAGATTTGAGAACCAAGAATCTGAAATATCAGTGAAATCCAGCAGCCTGGCAACCCCTAGAAGAGGCAGAACTGCAGAACTGGGTTGGGGTTCTGTCAAAGCCTCAGTCCCAGAAAACTGTCATCATGTGACCTGTGTGGTGGTTTCCTGGAAGACTCACTTGCAGGGCTGTTTGAACTAACTCAGAGCTCACCCAGTGTGGAAAGCCTTACCCTCAGAGGACCAGTCAGAAACATTTAAAGGCAACTGTTTAACTTAGCAGCTACCTGAGGTGGTCGATAACGGTGGAAACAAAGCCTAATCACAAAGCTTGACAGAATAAGCTGGGGAATGAGATGACCATAAAGGTTTTGAAAAGCTGCATGATGTTCCTGAGAATCTAGAAGGCCACATACATGCGTAGAGCTGAGCATATGTCCAGTGCTGTGAGCATGCCCAAGGAAGGCATGAGAAGGCCCTGTCACCTGTGGGTGATCTTGAGGTTTGGAGTAAGTAGGAAGTGAAGGCTAATGCAGAAGTGTGAACTGTCTGGATGACTGTTGAAGGAATGTACCAACAGGCACACAGTCCCTCTGGAAAAACTGGGAGACTTACTTGTTTCAGGCATTTAAGAAAATTTCTGCAGACAGTTCAATGCCACACATGACAAGAAATACAGGCTCTACAGAATTAGTTAAAAAAAAGTTGCTAAACATATAAATTTCAACAACAACCCCAATGGAGAGGAGAAATTCTGATTTCTAGGGTACTACATTATTTTATTTAAAGCATCCACTTTTCAATAAAAAGTTTCAAAACAAAAAAAGAATCAAGAAAGTAAGGTCCATATATACAGGAAAAAAGTGTAATCAAAAGAAACCACTACTAAGTGAGCAGACATCAGATTTAATTAAACAATGATTTAAAATCAGCTATTTTAAATATGGTCAAAGAACTAGAGGAAATAGTATTTAAAGGCTACAGAAAAGTATGAGTACAATATCTCACTAAATAAAGGATATCAATAAAGAGAGATTATGAAAAGGAACCAAAAGGACAAGAGAAGATGACTCCATGAAGACATCTGCAGAAGAAGGACAGGCTAGTGGAGAGTGTCACTGACAGAGAACCTTTCCAGAAGGACAGAGTGGGAAGAACAGGCAAGTATTGCAGAAAAGTCAAATAAGGAAAGGATGAGACAATGCCCACTGGATTGGGCTCTAGTCCCATTAGGGTAACTAGACAGCACAGGCAAGTGGGAAGACAGACCAGTGCACCACACCGAGATTTAAAGTTGAATGCCAAGTGTGGAAACACTGGAGAGATAAGAGCATTGTAAACTGTCTGCTGAGCAACCTGAGATCCTGGGTACTAGAAATATTTATGCAGTCACTTTAAAGACGTTCAGTTGATTCATTAGAAAAATGTCTAATTCAATCCCGGTGAGTCCTTGAAAAACAGTGCTGAGTTCACATTTACCCTTACGTTTTCTACTTCTGCCGAAGAACAAGCAGGGGCAGCATTTTGTGTTATCTTAGTGAGCTGTTCAATTCCATGAGGGATCCGTTTGCTTTACCTTTCCCATCAGTGTAAACCTGTAAGTTCTGTCTGTCTGACACCTGCCCCGGCTGTCAAAAACCTCAGAAATAAACGTGGAGCTCAACTTGGTACATCAGTGATATCGGTGGACCTGTGTCTATTCACGTGCCACCTTTGCTCTGCTGTTCATCTGCATTTCTGTATCTTCTACAGATGTGAATGACCCATTTCTGTTTCTACTTTTCCACATTAATGTAAAATCCATTGCAAAACAAAGTGATTATTAAAAACCAAACTCACCAGAGGTATGTCCATTTTCTGCTGCTCCTGGAACAGTGCAGAGAGCTGTGAAGGTTCAGCTGGGGAGGACGAAAGAGAAATGGGGTCATGGGAGACCTGGTCTGCCTTGTAGTTCCTGTAACTATTCACCTGCCTAAAAATCTCATCACACCAGCTGGAGAAAAGACTTCCCAATGGGAAATGTCCCTTTGACTCTTGAAAAAGGGACAGGAAGGACCACACAGAGGGAGCAGCACCTGAACGTGTGTGTCTCTGAAAATGATCACGTGGGCTTAACTTGGCATTTTCACTGAGCAAGGAAAATTGTCTTTTTGTTGATGTATCGACAATGTATGTCCCCTTCTGACTGACTAAGAAGTAAAAATAAAACAACAGAGGACTGGCTTAATAAGTTCAAGTACACAAGAGATAAAACCCTCTACCTTCCTGAGAAATCATGTCAAAAACTATTCAGGAATGCTTATTAATCAAGTTCTTGTCTTACACCCAGAGTTAAAGTTTCCACAGAAAACTGTGAAATAAATACGGAATGTTTTATGCAAAGAATATATATATTCTTAAACTTGTTCTAAATTGGTTGCCAATTCTAAAAAAAGACCTTTTCATAAAGATACTTATGGCACTCACTTGTGTGAGTAAACAGCCCTGTGCTTAGTTCTTGGTCCTGCCCTGGGTAATTCTTCAAGTTATTCATTTCAAAACCAATATTTTGGGGCTTCCAATACAGAAAACTCTTCCTCTGGTATAATTTATTTTCTATGTTCAAAAAAGAGGAAGCATCAGCCTAATGGTAAATGCCACATGATGGACAGACATGGTGTGAAAGCGGCCCAGAATCTGGAGAGAGGGAGGGGAGAATGAAGGAAACTGGGGTATTTAGGATTTTGTCAGCGGATTACCTCTTCCCTGAATATCATGCCCACACCACTCTTCTAGGAAAGCACCTTTTTCTATTCAGTCTGGCAGTCACCCATCCCTCTCAACTCCGGGTTACCACCTACTGTAAGGTGGCCCAAGGCATCCAGAGTCACACAGTCTGTGACAGCTTCTGGATGTGGGGACATTAACAAGTCTTCATGCTATGCAGGGAATCAAGAACTGCCTCTGGTGGAGTAAATCAGGATGCGGTTCTTTCTAGAATCTTCTGCCTCTGCCCTAAAGCTCTGGGAGAG